CCTGAGCTGCCCGCGGCCCTTGCGCGCCGCGCGGGAGCCCCTGCGCTGCCCGCGGGCCCTGTGCGGGGGCTCCCACGCTGCTCACGGGCCCTTGCGCCGCCCGCGCCCCCTGCGCGCTATCAGCGCTGCCCGCCGGCCCTGCGCGCTGAGAAGATGCGCCCATAACCCCCCCGCCCCCTTCTTCTCCTCCCCCGCGCAGGGTGCGCAGCCTCCGCGCGGGTTTTACGGCGTGAGGAGGAAATCCGGGCCAGGCAGCGCTCGGCCTCCTTTACGGCGCGGATCAGCGGGTTCCTGCTCGCCGCTGCTGGGAGGGCCCCCGGCGCCTCTTTGAAGGGAATTAAAAGCAGCCTCCAACGTGATTTAATGCAAACTGCTGCGTTTAAAATGTGGTAAATGTCGTGCCCAGAGTGTGCCTGGTGTCCCACTTAGAGGGAGGCAAGGAGGGGAGAGCTGACGGAGGGTCTTTGCCTGGAGCAGGACCCGGGCTCCGGAGCTGGGATGAGAGCTCTGGTCTTCAGTCCCTGCTCCATCTCTGCAGGAGCCTAACACGGTTTGGGATCGGAATAGAGAGGACTCCTCAAGCTGCCTTCCAATACGGCTGTAGTGGCTGGAATCAGTTCCTTTTCCAACATGAAATGGGTTACAAGACTTGGAGAACTAGTCAGCATTGGCCCCTTGGAAAAGGGCTCCCTCCCAACCTCACGGCTTAGGATAACAGGGCTGCAGGCCTAAAGCCCACAGCAGCACTAATTCCAGGCCTCCCCCTCAGCATCAGCCCATTTTGTTACTGGGAATGACTCCTTGTCCTCCAAACCCCTCCCAGTCCCACCTGCTCCCACCAGATCTTCCTGCATGGAGACACCATGAGCTTCTCTGTTGGCAATGGGACCTGCTCGCTCAGGTCCTAGCTTAAATATGGATCAGTCAGGAAGGAAACACTTGAAAGAGCGTGTTGATGTGGCAGGGAGGAGATGGGAAGCACATCTCCAGGTTRTCCCTTCCCTGTAATTCCAAGAGATGACCCCCCGTTCAGCTCCTCTTCTGCACCAGGGAGATTGCTCTAACCACCACGCTGTGGGATTTTGCTGAAATTTTCCAGCTCAAYAACTACCTTTTGATTGGAAAGGTGACTCACTGCTTTGCACAGGATGCATCTTCACGTGTGGGTGTTCCTGGGTGACGAATCTGGAGCTCAGCAACATTACGTAAGTGGGATGTAGCATCCAGGGGGCGAAAGCCTCTCAGAGGTGGGAGTTTCCTCTGGTGGGTGTCTCAGGAGCTTATCCTGATCACAAATTTCTGCTGCTACACGGCAGAGTACATTTAAAGAACCAGCAAATCTCTGCGGAAGAAATCTACTTGGGAAACTTTARCCAAGTTCAAAGTTAGTACTAAGTTAGTTACATACCTGGGCCTAGAACTTAGATCCTGCCCCTTTGGCCACCTCAGGCCTAGCAGGGCAGCGATATCGTTCTGAAGATCGAGTGCTACAGCTGGAGCCTGAGGCTCTGGAATGCCGAGCGACTTTGGACGAGACACTGAGGTCCCTACCTCGGTTGTTACAGCGCGGTGTAAGCAGAGCTGCTTCCAGAGGCCCACATGGTAATTCTGGGGGGATTCGTATAAATAAGTGGGCTCTGTGCCAGGCAGTGAGTCAGCGCGAAGAGCCTGAACGCATCCCAAAGCTAGAGGAACAAAAAACAAATTTTAAAGCAGAGTCTTTCTGCTCAAAGTGGAGTATGAGCATTGCAAGATAAAGCTGGCTAAGACAGTGGGAGGCTCCTCCACTGCCAAAAGACCATGAGTGTGGAACGGGAAGAACTTCTTAGCTAAGGGAGGACCCAGGAGTGTCTAGGAAATCAAAGCGCTTCATTGGCCGATATAAAGATTTGGAGGTAGAAGAGAAATGCACCTTCTTTTCCTTTTTTTAATGCGGTCAGAATCTGCTATGTCAAGTTTTCCTGTTTGTATTTTTGGTACAGACTAAAACAATCTTTTTTGTTGTTGTTGTTGTTGTTGTTTTATTTTTTGTCTGTGTGTTTTATTCTTTTTCCTAAATGAAAAAGCTATTTCAAAACCAAAGTTTCTCAAAAAGCACCACTGAAATATCCACTCTTTGCAATGCCCCAGTTCCTAGCATTTCTTTGCTTTGCTCATCCCCTCTTCAATCCAATTTCACAGCCAGCTTTGGGTCTATCAAATTCCCTTCTTTAGCAAGATCACTATTCACTGGAAAGAAAAATCACCCAGGTCTTAAAAGAGGATTTTTCTCTCCCATTTTTATAATATGTAAGTCAGGCAGCAGGCAGACTAGATGCTGAAAACTCACTGAGTCTTTYGGAGAGAAAATGGGGAAAAAGCAGTAGATTTAAGCAGCGAGTGAACAACACTAAGCAGACGCTGTAAGCTGAACATGCAGAAACAGCCGCCAGGGCTTTGGTGTGGTTATGAGACCACAGAGCTGAGAGGACAACAAACCCCCAGCGCTGGCCCCACGAGGGGACAGGCCACAGGTGCTCACGCTCATCACCTGCCATGTCTCGTGCMGTGACATTGGCCAAAACAGGGCTGGGGGACACCGGAGCCTTCATCCGGACCAAAGCTGTCCACCCTTAGCACAAGCCCAAGGTGCTGCCTGTTTTGCCCTCTCCTCCTTGATTTATGCTTCCATCTACTCCGTTGTCCTTGCCTGGCTGACCATGAGTTGCTTCTCATGAGGTCTCTTGATTGAGTTTTTTTCTCCAGCTAAGGGTCAGTGTAACTATAGAATATGATTTCTGGCACAAAATTTTTTAAAAAGGCCTGAATCAGCTTCAGCTAAATGATGCCTCTACCTCAAAAACTACCATGGATGAGCATGAACCTTATGAAGCCCAAGAACACCCTCCAATGCCAACTAGGGGCTACACGAAAGATGCAGATGAGAACATGGGATGGAGACAGGAATCAGACAGAGACCATGTCTGTCTTGCTGGTGAGGCCGAGATGCTTTGAGCGAAAAAGCAGGAGGAGATCAGTGAAGTGGCTCATGGGGAGCTGAGATGCAGGGAAAGGGGAAGACCATCCAGCTGCAGAGCAAGGGGAAGACCCTTCAGCTGCAGGGCTTGGGCTGTCTGCAAGGAAGCAACGAGAAGCAAAAAAAGGGAACAGCGACAGCAATCAATCAGGAGGCTGCCAGCAGCTATATATGATTTTAAGAACACGTAAGCGGAAACATTGATGGTTCTTTACTGTAAGAAACAGATTCAAGGCCTCAGAAAGTGCTGAGGTTGATAGGAAGGATATTGAAAGTCTTACAGATAGGCACACGGAATTACCAGAAGTTGATGGAAAGAGGAAAAATAGAAGAAAATCAGCATGTGAAAGGACATAGGAAAGTCTGAAAGCAGTAGCAGARATGTAGGGTTAATAGAGACACAGGAGTAGATCTGGGGTATTCACAGAGATTTCAGTAAAGGCCATGGGAGGAAATCAAAGAGTAGATGGGAAGKTGCACAGAGCCACCTCCGAGGAGGTGCTGAAAGGTCAGCAGCAGCAGGAAGGGATCGGGTAGTAACAAGAGATGTCCACAAACTCAACCAGTCCTCTCATACTGATGCACCAAACCAGGAGAAATCAGCTTTATGGTGGCTTGCAGGAATAGCCCTGACCTTGGGGGCAATCATACCGTCAGCGCAGGGAAAATGTGAGCTGAATTGCAGCACCAAGCTGTAAACTGGCACAAGGAGTTCCCAACAGCCTAGCAATTTATTCAAGTGTATCCTCACCAGCACAGGAAAATTAAAGCTTGGAATAGAGCCAATGACAGCTTGAACCTTGTTAAAAAAATGCCAAAAGAAGAAAAGATTAATTGATCAGCCCCTAGTATTTGTAAGATTCATCCTTATCAAGGGCTGGCATTCATTCCTTCTTTTTACTTTTCCGTGGGCACAAAGGCCAACTCTCTCCCTCTGCAAAGGAAATGTTTTATAGCAGCTCCAGCAATGACAGTGACACAGACCAAAAAAAATAAATAAATAAATAAAAAGCAGCAACAAGACCAGGGCTTTAAGAGAGGAARGACCATTCACAGGCAGAGAGGCCAGGAATCGGTTGGAGAGGATGCAGAGGGGCAGACCCAGGCAGACCTGGGGATGTGCTGCAAGATTTCATGCCTTGACAGGAAAGAAACACTAGCGACTGATGGGCAGAGATCCACAGCTTGCAAGGTTACTTGTTAAAACCCCTGTGGTTAGAGCTGGCCGCCTGCCCAGCGCCAGGTTGTATTCACATTATTSGTACGTTCTTCTTCATCCTCGACCTCCCACCACGTTCAACTCACCTGCCTGCGGCATCTCACCTCTGGGACTGGTGGCTCCCTGGAGAAGGGGGATTTTTCCATGGTCAGATCTTGGAAA